AAGCTTAACGATGATGGATTGCAACACAGACCACTTCTAATTATTGTTACAAAAAATCACAAGAACTTACAGAGATGCCCTGCCCTAGAGCATTGGATACGAAATACAGCCATCCGTTCTGAGTAATCTAGCAGTGCCATCACCAAGTCAAAAGTCGTTCGGGGTGGGTGTGCCACCTCCACCACAACCACTAAGGTAGTATTTACTGCGACCTCAGGTGACCCAATTTCAAAATTAAAACCGCTTGCTGCAACACAATTCCTCAAGCTATCCTCAGTTTATTAGATACCCTCGCCAACTAAAAATCAAACCCTCGTTTACACTAGTCCGGTGGGAAAATTGAAACTTTACTTATTCGTTATTTCACAACAATCAAGAAATCACCGGCTGAATACCGGTGATGTTGACTAGCAAACACTTGAGCAATTCAGACACTGTATACTTGATAACCTAACACCTTGGAATCCTTTGAATCCTTTATCCTGGGCCAGGAAGTAGGAACACTTTTATTCTTCATTTACCGCCCCAAATACTACCGCTGACCAAGAATTCACATTCTGACACAGCAACAATGACAGTCTCTACCAAGTGAAAAAAGGAGGGCAATATGAATAGCGGGCCTCACATCCCAAGAACCTTCGGGATCTAATTAAGTACTGACGCAACTTCTTTTCAAGCTACCACAGGACCTCGAGGACCTACTCCGAACTCGGTGCTGACGACGTCAATCCACTGAGGCAGTTCAGTGAAATAATAGGGAGAACTGTGCTATACAATAATGCAAACCTATACGCAAGATCCGACGTCACCCGGCAGTCCCGAAGTGGACCGTTGTCTAATAATCCTTAGAATTCTGCAGAGTTGGAGGATAAATCGTCCCTCAATGACCTGACCGTTCACAAACTTGTGTGTGCACGTGACCTCTCAAAACCAACACACAGCACCTTGGTAGCGTAAACAGCACCATAGACTACCCTAACCTCGCCCTGCCAATCACGCTACCACCGCCTGGATTTCCTGTCCTTCAAACCTCAGGTGACACATGGATAAAAGTAGAGGTGAAGGAAGCACAATCAAAGTACTACGGTAAAATAGGTGGCAATCACCAAAACAGAGTTAACGCAGCATGGCGATGGGAAAGGTTCATACGGGGTTTTGGTTCTGTTCAATTATTTTCTGCGAAGAGAAATTGGACATATACCTATGAGTGTGTGGATGGGTGTTAGTCAAGTTAAACGTCAGACCAAAAAAAAAATCACCGAGTTTTACAGAAACACGCAGTGACAAACAGGGCAACGAGACACGACAGGCTAGCCCATTTCAAGAAGAAAAATAAGTAAAAATGAGAGAACAAGACAGAGGTGGGTGATGAGGGTTAAATGCTTCGTCCCTTGGGAAAAGGCAGACGGGAAGCAGATCCTTTGTACAGATGCGCTTACACGCAAGCTCACGGAGGCGCAGAGCAGCTCAGGATGTAGGTGAAGGGCAATGGCGCGGACGACTTGAAACGAGGAGGGGAAAGCCAAGAGTGCAGCCACTCATCTGTCCATCGGGCGCGGGGGCGAGCACGAGGGGAAAGACGAGCCTTTGGTCTGCCTCGGTGGTGATCTTGGAGACAAGAGTCACTCCCGTATCACCACCAGCGGTGGAGGAGGTAGAGGCTGTAGAGCCAGCTGCAGCACCAGGTACAATTTGTACCGGCAAAGGGATGAGCGAGGAGGCGGGTTTACCGGAGGCGACGGCCGTAGCGGCGGCGAACTCGGCAGCGGAGGCAGAAGTGGGTGCAGAGACAAGAAGGAGAGGAAAGCCGCCATCGAAGGACTTCTCAGTGGGTGGACAACAGACGTCGCCAGTGAGGAGGACTGCACCACCATGGTTGCGCGTCTTGGTGATCGGTAAGAGGGAATCAAAAGAGTGTTTCCGATCACCAAGGTTATAAATCGGCGATCGATTGTAGGCGGTCTCGGGATTTGCAGCGGAGGAAGACGAGGAGAGAATCGCCCCGAGCACCGGCACGTGACTTACCCTCCGCTGACGCTCCTTTGAGGCAGTTGTCTGTGAGAAAGGGGTAGTCATGTGAATTCTACCTCCAAGCGCTAGCGCTGTCATACCTGTGCCTCAAGTGCGTAAGTCGATAGGGCGAATATTCCCTCCACTGCATTACAAACTCTACATGCCAAAATTTGTATTTGTGTGAGCGTCTCTGAGCGTACACCGTTTACGACTCCACCTCCTCGTAGCACAAATATTTTGTCGCCAATAGAAAAGATGCTTCCAAACTGACGGGCAGTGTCGAGATGGCAAAAAATTAAATAAAACTGGGCTATTTAAGGGCAAATAGTTTTGGTAATTGCGATTGGAATGCAAAACGATTGGCAGAAAGAAGATAATTCAGTTAAACTCAATTAATCCATCAGATTAATGTCTAATATGAGAATTATGAATCGCTTCATCGTGCAGTGTCAAGCGAATTGTTTCAGTCCTTCAAAATTCAGTCTTTAGGAATGGAGGAACCCTGATCAAGCCGTCTACGCTATCAGTCCCCGTCAAGAAAATGACAGATTTAATTTGTACTGCAAATACGACTTAAATAGGAAAGAACGGATTGTTCATTAAGGCAAGAAACTGCGGAGAAAAAGGAATCCGGTATAGATCATTAAATCAATGAAGAGTCAAAACAGAAGAGCTGTTAAAAATGGATAGATTAGCCATGAGGTTTTTGAAAGAAAAAACACACAATCTCCTGTCATCTAGTTGTGTTTACTCGACTGTCGTCACAAGGTTTTCACAGACGTGTGTGTATGCATGGGTGATCACTCTCCAATGGTAGAGTAGATCAAGGATCTTGCCAGCACAACTACGCCATGGTTCAAATGGAAATGTTCCCTCTCAAAATTGGCAAGCGAGACACTGGATCGTCCATAAAGAACTGAGGCTGATTCAATTCACACCTTGCGAGAGAGAGAGAGAGAGAGAGCAAGGTCGCTGTCTAAAAGGCATGTCTTGTTGGGTCAAATGTACGAAAGCCTTGAGGAGGGTCGAAATATCGGCCCGGTGGTAGTGTAAGAAGTAGAAGAATCAGTGTACACACATATGCATGCACGAAATACAACGAATCGAAGAGAGAAGTGACAGTAAGTAGATATTAGTGCTGGTGTGGTGCGTCTAAGTCGAGAAATTCCACACAGCCTCTACAACTCATGCATACACACACACGCCAAACGTCAATGCAAATTTGCACGTCTACTGAGTTACAGCTCAGAGAGGTAGGAGTGGTGAGAAGTGTGACTTTTTGAGGAGGTAGGACGTAAAATCTTTGTAAATTACCACGTTTTTGCTGAATGCGAAGAGACATCTCCACTTCCTTTTCCACGATTCACAAAGTACGCGCCGAGTTCCAGTGCCAATCGGATAAGAGGCACACAACCCTCTCACCCAAACAGTAGTACTGAAGGCGTATATTAGTAAATTCGGTGTGTCTGTAGTGTTACACTTCTAGAAGGACTGAGTATTTGAAGTGTTTGCTTGGTTCGTCTAAGCTTTACAGGCATTCACCGTTCGATTGCATCGCAGTAATTCATAGTAAAGGCTGCTTTTTTACCTTCCCCAAGTTCCCATATAACCTGTAGACACAGCACATCGTCCAAATCACTCTTTATAGCACATTGTAGGAAGGGTTTCAAATTTCATAACCACCAGGTGTTGGAATGCAAATACATAACTCTAATTAAAAAGAATAAACTGAAAAACCGTGTTAAGGCCAGGTTTGGGTCATTTTATTCTGACGTTAGAAGGGGGGGGGGAGGGCGAAGAACCCGAGTTTAAAAATCAGCTGGAGCACGCGATTTCAGAAATGTAGGTGTATTTTGACACAATGGAAAATCACATACACATAAAAAAACATGCAACGCACATAATCTGAGAGAGAAAAGCATGAAGTACATCCACACAATCAATCCGTGCGATAACGTCTTCTTTTTAAGGTCTGGGAGGACTCTAATGCCATGATTATAAAAGAGCGATGAAATTAAGGGACCTGACTCTACTCCTCAGCCAGACACATCCACATTGTCAAGTATTCGTCTCCTCTGTTTTTCCTACTGTAATGCACTTTGGAAGGTGATTACATCACACGTTGCTCCTTCTTCCAAACGCTGATGCAACTTTGATAGAGAAGTTTTCAATGTGCGTGCAAACAGTTTTTCGCTCCGACAATGCCAACTCGCCTTTGACAGTTGTAGCGTTGAGGAATGATGAATTTCTTTCCGACTTCAAGGAATCAACTTGACGCCAACATGCATGGATTCTTGTGCAACTTTAAGTGAACAGGTGGAGATACAGAGATTATCGAAATTGAAAATGTTCAAGCCGTAAGCAGTAGGAAATGATCGAAATGGGCCTTCCAAGTTATAAATAACCACGGCAGGAGAGCATTGGAGTAGTCGATGAGTGGGAAAAAGCAGCATCGCCATGAGTGAATCTTACCCATATTCAACCTTCAAACGCACAGAGAACGTCTTTAAGAGAGCTCAAGTACACCATTAGTAGCACCCGATTTCGGCATATTCGCTTGAAGATTTGTGATACTTGATTACAGAGGGCCTATAGTAATACTCCAGATGCATCTACCTTTCTGTGAACCGACCTTCATGCTAGTAGTATGAAGCACTTGGTAATGGCGTCAGTACCACTGGTATCTCAGTTTTCCGTAAACTGTATGCCCTCTGTCATCTTTTGGCGTTACACTAATGCTAAGGTATATTCAATCTGGTGCGTCTGTATCAACTCCATCCAGAAATGAGTTGAGTACCGGTATTTCAGTGGGCGGGGGGAGAAGGGGCGAGGCGGCAGATTGAGGCGAGGGCCACTCCACTTTAAGGGGTGACGACCGAGTTGGATGTACGGGTTCCTCGGGGGCCGAGAGAGGACGCGTTCCTGTGCCAACTGTGGTGGGACCGTAAGACCCGGTGCCCTCTTCCGTCTGCATGCTCTTTGCATGAATCGATGGACGACTGAAGGGCTGCAAGGAATAGAAAGTGGCATCGTTAGGAGGGAACGACTTGAAGAGGTGTCCAAAGGACCGCAAAACAGGGGAGCAGTATCGGATCCACTCGATGAAAATTACTAAAGTTTCAGCAATAATAAGCTCTAAATGTAAATTATTTAGTGGTCGTCCATCCATAATAATAATCCCGACTAGCCGACGCCACCGCCTCCTCAAATTAATGTTGACAATGGGGAACGTTAGGAATTCCCCCGTTCTACATTTAAAAGACTAACTTTGCTCCCATTTAATAACTATTAGCTTCAATTTGATACCTAGGCTATACGCGACCGATATATGTAGGGCAAAAAAGCAGAGATATTGTTTGGAAAAGAGGGAATCTACGTGTGAATCCTGCCACAAATACGGTTATTTGCTCGATGAACGAATGCATCAAACTTTTTTTTTTCATGAAATTTTTCACTCGTTACTACTAATCAGCTCCATAGAGAAGTTGGATTTCAAGCAGGGATTAATGTCCCGAAATTTTGGATAAAAAAAGACGTCACCTCAATCCAATAGAAAATCAGAGTTAGGATCGGAACAGATCCATAGTTTAGCAGCCTAAGTAATTATGCTTTGAATATATTTATTTCAACCCATCATACAGAAACCATTGTCAGACTATCTGATACCATTGCCGGTAAAATAAAACAGCCTCAGTTGGAAAAAAATTAAAGTGTCATTTGACTTCAGCACTAATTTACGACCAGAACGGAAATTGCACTTATGTTTAACAAGAGAATCCAACCTAGACTCTTTTCACTCCAGGTTTAGCCACGGGGATTGGGAGCATTTCCAATAAAATTAGAGGAGACCTCAGAAAAATACCGACTTTTCAACTTTGGAGACTAGTCCTTCAACGACCAAGACCTAAATCTACAGATTCTCAGCAGAAGCAGACCACTATAACAATTTTCGAACCACCAAAATCATCTTACCTTAAGTTCGTAGAAGGGAGGGGGTTGTTGATTTGGTTGTTGTTGCTGGCGCTGGTAGTGAAGGGGTGTTGGAGCGTTGAAAGAGGTGACGGTGGAAGGAGATATGGTAGGGAAGATAGAGGAGAGCACAGAGGAGTGTCGCCTTGCAGGGGTGGGGCCCGCAGGCGCCCCAAATACCGAGTACCGTCGACCCGCCTCTGAATGGTGTGTAGGATAGCGCTGGGGCGGAGGTACGGTGGTGGACACGTTCGGGGCTGGAGGTGAAGGAAACTTGCACTTCCACCGACTACTCGACTGTGGTGGTATAGGCGGTGACCGCATCCGACTGGTGCTGTTGGATGTGGCGGCAGTAATGCTCGATGGGGAGGAAGAGGAGGCGGAAGTGGGTATCGAGGTACTGCTGCTATTGCTGCTGTTGCGGACGTCCACCACAAGCGAAGAACGTCGCGCTGGCACTGATGTGTATGAGGAAAACTTCACTTTCTGTGCTACTAAAGTCTATCAAGATAAATCTTAATATAAAGGGGAATCTCCCAAAAATCGGTTTCTGATTAATACAGAGACCAGCAATCGTCACTGAAAATCGGGGTCGCAAAGGAGATTATTATGACTTTCCCGTCTTAGATAAATAACTGCTTTCGGCGTTTTAAAGGTTACTTGAAAAGAGTACAGCATTATTTGGTACACAACATATGGTGTTGTTTACTATATTAAAGGTTAAATCCGCTACCGTAGTATCCATCACGCCTATCAAGCCCTTGAAATCGGGTAAAGCTACTTGTTGAACAGTTCAAATTTCCACTCCCTTACGAACGCATTAACCAAATCAACCTGTCTGCTTTTATCAGTTCCAATAAAACGATGTGGTGACATCGTTAAAGACGGCAGAATTGGCTCAGATAACCCACACCAGAAGTTCACTTTCCTGGGTCAGTGGATCAGCAAGCTTACGAAAAGGAAGAGAATCTGAGTTGACCTGACGGGAGATCTTAAAAGCCTCTGTGACTACCACCGGATACGCATACACACACACACACACCACGCATCGCAGAGCAAACACAAAGGCGGTGTACGTACGATTTGTTTGCATCCTTTGCGCAAAGTGATAAATCGTTACAGGTCGAGTCATGTCAACGATCGCCGCCACGCCATAGCCACCTATGCCTTCTGGTAAACGGAAAAGACGCACAACTTCTCAACTTCTAGTGGGGATCGAATTTCCCAGCAAACGATAGAAATAGCTTCTCGCCCAACAGGAGACATTCACGTCAGCGCACAGCCGCACACGCTCATGTGCCCTTGGTCATGATTAAATGTTTGCATGAAGGGGTGTCACATGGCTACACAAAAACATTAATAGGTTTGTGTGTGTTAGAGTCCACGTGGGGTAGGGTAGGAATCACTTTCTCCGCTGTTAACCCCGATTGCCAGTCAATGGAGTACTGCAACCCAGGTAATTAATTACTCAGTTAGCCAGCTAGGCGGCCAGCCGGTTAAATACGATAAACTGTAGGCGACCGTGGCAATACGACACACAAATACGGGACTGAAGAGAAAAGAATGCAACTCCACTGGCACTCATTGAGGGTGAGAGGCGCCAGTGTGTGTAAGGGCGTATGGTTAGAACAATATATCATCCATTCACAAAGGTGAATCATCGTGTGTGCATTCGAGACCTAGGGTCTACGCCACCGCAACAGACACATGGGTAGAATGTCAAGTTGCGATACACAGGATCGTCAAAATGTGATGATGCCTCTATCGGGTGATGAAACTTTTAGCTAGATGTCTGCCTGTCTGTGCGTGTGACGTCAAAGACAATGAACTACAAAGGGGCAGCGGCGTCTACCACCCAGAGTCTGTCTGCGTGTCCCCCTCTACCTACCCGCCTTTTGCGTACGTACGTGAATAGGTAGCCTGGTGCGTACACACAGGTATGCATGTAGACATGCAAGTGCGCTTCACTCGTTGTGACGTCGAAAGTTCGCATGTGCGTGCCTCTGTCTGGACGAAAGCCCAGTGTGTGTACGCACAGTACTTCTCTGCCCCATGTATATTTATTTCCAATGTACTTAAATCCGTGTAGATGCATCAAAGCAAGAGGGTATCGCCGTGTCAGCGATACCTCAGACATCGACTCAAGCGTATTTACAATAAAGGTGCAGTAGTTAATGGAGCTAACCACCGGTATCCACTTTTGACTTTTGAATTGACATCCTTATCTGGCTGCATGTCATCACAGGTATTGGCAATGTAGAAATAACAGGTCTTGGACATTGCACATCCTAAAAACTGGCAACATAGTTCACTAACATGTGTATTCGACTTGGGGAAATAGGATCTGTTGAAAGGCACTTCTGTTTGTTGATGATAAAGGTGCTTTCACGCATGTAAACTTTATTAATGACTTTGAAGGGTAACTCATTTGAGTCTGCTCGGTTGTTATTTTGGCTGACTGCTCGCCATTTCTATCGCAGCATGGGTGTCACCCTATGAGAAGCAGAAAAAGTCGACGATTGAAAGCAATCCCTTGTCGTGACGTGAGATCTTAGGTGAAAATAGGTTGCCATAAGAGCATACAAATGTTCTCAAAAGTTAACTTGGCAAGGATTCAACAGCTCAGAAATACTACTTCTACTGAGTCAAGCCCATCAGTGAGTAACGCCAAAAGCCCAGTGGTATTGGGATCATCCCCCCAGTGACAACTTTTGAAATGAATCACATAAAAAGCCATTTCGAATCATTTCTAGCAGAACCAGTTTTTGTTAAAGCTGCGGAGTTTCTCAACTGATACAGCAAGGGGAACAATGGTTGAGCAGGGAAAGGCCCGGTTCTCCTTCAGGAACTTAACTTCTAGCATGCCAGGGTGGGAGAAAGGGGAAAGATATTTCAGAACTGGTGATAATTGCAATTCCAGATTAAGTCTGCAGAAGTTAGCAATAAGAAGCGTCCCTTTCCATGACAAATAGCCTGTGTATTCCACATTTACCACCACTTCATTCGAGCAGAAAACATTCAATGAATCAGTTTCTCTACGTCTTGACGCAAATTCCCAAAGATAGCAGTCCTATTAAATGTTTTGCAATTCATTGCTTCCATGTGACCATGCACTCAAATTTCATATTGATCAACCACCCTTTTAAATCAACTACCTTCACTACTACCACGCGATTCCATGACAAATCGCGTATCGGCAAACAAACCAGACTCCGGATTCGTCTATGGCTTCAAAAGGTGCTGAAATCATCATCCAAAACTGTGCTGTGGGCTAAAGGAAATGCACACTTCACACCCTACGCATAGAGAGCAACAAGTTATTTGGGTTTGACAAATAGCTTGCTACACGGAACCACCCACGTGACTAACATTTACACAGCATAGTAGCAAGAAATGACAACTACTAAGGTGAGAGGAGGAATAAACTAACCATCGACACGCGCGGAAAAAGCCGGGATGGGTGGGGGAGGACACAGAGACGCGAGACCTCCAGCAGTGTCGGAAGTGAAAGACAGGCCAGGGTAGGAAAGTTTTCGCTGTTTTACCTGTGTCTCCAGTCTTGGAACGCCACGCTGGGTGGCGGAACAATGAAAGAGCGACGCAGCAGTAGTGGCAGAGGAGTCTGCAAATGAGGAGACAGAGGAGCAACGCGTACTTTCCACACTCAACTGGGCGGGCTTATCGACAATGAGTGAGGCGGGCTGCGATTGCGACGGTAGCGGAGGCAGCTGAGGTGCTGGTGGAGGAGGGGCGACCGGTGAGGAGTCACCATTACTTCGCTCGCCCCAATCAAACTTGCGCTTCTTTGCGGGCAGCCGGGGCGTAGTCTTTTCAGGACTTGCCACTACCGATTCGGAAATGAGGCCTGCCAGATCGGCGCTCCGTGCAACAAAATCGAGCTGTGGCCATGGCGGGTTCACATCGCTGAAGGCGCGCTGTGTTTTTCCTCCACTAACGAGGCGCTCGCTGAGCAAGGCGGTGCGAAGTTGACGGAGGGGCAACGTGTTGACCGTGTCAGAGGTCATCGAGGAGAAAAAGGAGGAGGTGATGGTCTGGGTGGCCACGGTAGAGGAGGTACAAGAGACTGGTGTTCTTGTTGGTGAATTTGCTGCTTCCACTTGCCATGTCGCTGGGCTCTCTGAGTCTGCAAAGGCGTCAACGATTCCCCAATTCAACATTTTTGAGACACAAATCCTCGTACTTGGGTCACAAATAAGCAATTAAATGCGATATTTCATGTAAACCGCTCCACTTAAAGATACCACCTTCGTGGGTTTTCGATGCATTGCAGGGGGACACAGTAAAGTAACTTCCTGCTATTTCACGTGTGACCTTGAAGTTCACACAATGTACAAAGGATGAGAAATGATAAGTTTCGTTGAAACACACGATTGGAAACAGTGTAATGCGTGTTGGTAATCCTACAGGCAACCAGTGAGGTGGCGAGGCATCCTGTAAAGTTGTGCAACAGATCTAGTAGTGTAAAGTGACATAGTAGTTGTCAAATATGTGAAAGTTCTAGTGCTGCCGCTTACAAAAAAATCTGAGACACCATTCCAATGCGCAAAACGGACAAGGTCATTTAGGCAAATGGATACACTTTGATATTTAGAAAAAGACAGCCATAAATAAAAGCTTAAACTATGAGAAACTCCGAATCGGTTTTTTAGGTGAAAATCGGAATTTTAGGGAAGACACGAGAAAAACCGAGTCACATGGACCACTTTTGAGCCCCTCCCCAAATTCAGCGGCAGCTAGAGCACTTAAACTAGCTCAAAGTGGTGAAGAGGTTATCAGTAGATATTTTTCAATTTGATACATACCCATTAAGCCTACAAATCCGGCTCAAGTGGAGAGTTGTTCAAGTGACCGCAGCCACATGACGGTTAAATACCCGCTTCTCTTGCGATCGTCTACGAAACTGTGAGGCTATAAGAGCACTATTGAAGGGACACATTTCTGCTCATTTGCCAATGTCAGAAATCCTCAGGTGGTGTGCGCTTAACCTCAGAGTGAACAATGAAACAGTTATCTTGAAATTAAGACTTGGAATGCATGCATAGTGATCAGTGAGTACTACCGAGACAATAATTTGACGCTCATTCATTAAAAGCATTCGTAACTCAGAAATACGAGTGACCTTGAGTTGTAGTTGACATGCACGAAATTAAATGAGATTTTCTCCCATCAAATGAGATAGCAACAAAACTCTCACAAAAAAGTAGGATCATAGTTATCTAGACGAGGTAGTGAGGAGAGAGGAGTTACAGAGATCAATTTCAAACCATTCAAAGGAAAAAAAACTGACATACTGAGGCGGACTAATATGCAATAAAGGTGAGGAGGGGAGATGGGGAGGGGAGAGGGGAGAAAGAGCATACCCTGTTTTTCTTGTAACAAAAACATTGAAAACATGAAGAAATTAAAACCCCCTAAGAGATATGGGCGAACCTGCGCACGCAACGTAGAGACCGAGCGTCTATAGGCCGATAGCTAGAAGGACCTTGTGGTGTCATAGCCAATGGCACAGCACCATCGCCTCCAGTGGCTATTTGAACAGCCCACCAGGGCGAGGATTGATTGGCTGCGCAACATCAGCCTTAGTCGCGTGTGCGCGCGTGTAAGGTGGCAGAAAGAGAGCCTACAAACACAACAGGCTTGCGCCAAACTGTCTCTCTCTACTTCTCCATTGAAGGCTAAACACCAAAGCGCTCGCTCGTGTGCTTCCCGGCCTAGAGGCCTGAGCAAGACCAGTCCTTATTGCGAGATTGGAGATGCAGAGCTGGTGACTCAGTGACCCAATGTTACCCAGACTTGGGGAAAATGACCTGCTGTGATTGCGAGAAGTGCTTCTGTGTGGGCCCGAAGCGTTCCACTCTCAAAATCCTGAGACCCCTTAGTAATGGTGGAAACCCAGGATATTTCGATGGCTAGTTCTAATAGTTAATACAATGCCACTTCTCGGAACGGTTTTTTGAGCATTTTTGTAAGGCTTGGTGCTTTCAACGTCCTACAGCCCAGAGCCCTCTAGACGTTGGCGCCGTTATAATGGACAGGTTCCCTGGTTGAGTCAGTGTTCATTTGTTAGATTTGGCGCTTCCTTAAAAAGGCTTTTCGATTTTGCTGGAGATCTGGAACGCTCCATGGCCTCTGATTTAGGAAACCCCACTCTTAGAATATCCTTCAATGAAGGCGCCACAATAATTGGATTGAGGAATTCCTAGAAAATCGCCAATCAAATGTCCAGTTTATTCCAGTAAAGATAGTTAATGTCTGACAAAATCGTCCCCAGCCAAAGGATTGTTTATTTACTCAATTTTGGTAGCCCCATTTGGGGGCACGATGACTGGGTTGCAGGAAAGCGTGAATAAGTGCTACATAGAGAACTTAGTCACGCATACCCAAAGCCCAGTTCATCACCACTGTCGCCCTTCTTTAAATACGAGACTACGTGCCTTCCTAGATTTTCGCATAAAAGTAAACAATGTTTAAACCATAGTGACTAAAAAAGTGATAATTCTATTTGTAAAGTGGATCATAAACGGAGATAATAGCGTGCCATGCCAGTAAAGCAAACAGGAAGTGGAGTGCGCCAAAGGAGCGAAGAGCGGACGCTGGATCTTGAAGCCCAAAGGGTGGATACACAAAAAATACACTATCCAGCACACACAAACCATAGAAGGGGCGACTTGGTCAATTATTTGGACTACAACAGAACGCAAAATTAATTACTACCTAATTCACGAATCCACCATTCCATTCACTTCACGAGCCACGTGCACACGCACACAACAAACGGGACAGTGGAGCTGAATCACATCGAAATGCGACATAGGTGCAGAGATAGAGGGGAATGAAAGGGAAGAAGAAAGAGGAGGTATGACCTTAAAGTAACGGCTGACGGTAATGACAACAAGCGAGGGTGTAAAAAGATGTCTAGCTGATTGTAATACTGTGATCAAAAGTATCAGGGAGCATTGCAGATTGACCGCTTAAACCATACCCGTAGGAGAGATGCTGTTGACAATTATCAGACCGATGTAGCCGTCTAGCGACAATCCAAAATTCAATCTCCGGTTCCCTTTGTGAATAAAAACTTCAGTAATAGAGACCCCTTTTCCCTCGATTTGAACAAAAGACGGCTTAAATGAACGATTGTGGTGATGAAATTTGTATTATTTCTAGAATGGTAATGAAAGTAAGTTAGTTGGGCATCGGACATGAAGGTTTCCATTTAAATTCAACCTTGTCAGTGGATACAAGCTGTCTTAGCCCGGTTCCCGCGGGTTGAACAGCGTCATTCGTTTGAAGCACTCTTCTGATGCTTGCATAATTCATACTGAGAATACTTAGATTTTGAGACGTACTACCTTTTCCAAATTATTGAGTAATACTAGATTATAAACTGTCACTTAAACTGAACCTTTCGGCTCATTCTTACCTACCTTGATACCGCTCCGAATCACCCACCTAAATGACGCAATTCCTAGATTTAAATTCTCCGCACTATGATATTTTCGGATGTTTCTGGTGTTGTATCGCATCTTGAGAAAAACACGATTCTCGAAATGATGATGCTGTTGCAGCTCCACAGTAATGGGACAAGCTGAAGCTAGACTAGGTCCTACCACAGCCACCAGGGTTTTGGAGGAAAATCGAACACCGCAGTCCACAGAAGATATGTTCAACTTCAAGTCATGGTATACGATAACAAAAACAGGCACAATCATCCTCCGTCGTTGTTTCACTTTCAACCAATCTCCTCAAGACACTTCGAGAGAGGAATGCAAAATAAAACTAACCTTACATCCTTGATATGCGGCTTTGATCGCCATCGAGCTTAAGCTTGTAAACAGGAGCAATGACAGACAGACAGACGAACAAAGACGAGACGCAGAAACAAATCTATAGAAGAGGTAGTTGGTGAGTGAAGGAGTGGGTGAATGAGCTTAACACAAAACAACTTCCTTTGACGCAGCCGCATTACATATAGAAAGAGCGAGGGAAAATTTTTTTTGGGGGGTCAGGAGCCACCCCATACACACACACACACACACAAAAGTAGGTCGAGTTGGCAGGGGTGTGACTGGCTGCAGGCAGCAAAATCAGCAATGCCGACGCAGAAATCACACGCTAGGTGAAAAGTACACCGGAAGACAGCAAAAAAAGTCGGTGGCACAGCGTCGCTTACCAATATTAGCCGCAGTGACATCTCGCATCTTCCATGTCGGCCCAAAACACCCGCCTTCTGACAGGGGTGAATCGATTGCGTCTTTTGAGAGATTGTGCTATTGGTCGCCCAGACCCTTCTGTAAGTAAACATTGCGTTCTCAGGAGGCAAGCCGGTAACTACATTGATGACAGCGGTAAGCGAAATCTCGTCAAAAAGGCTAAATGTGGGACACGAGAAACGCCTTTTGTGGCTATATTCCACAGATTTAAGGCACGACGGCTGTAATGTACCTCACAAAAGTGGGATACGAAATGCGGACCGTCCCCTTCAAACGAGAGATCCCAGCTTTGTCAGTATGATTCGTTTTTGGATAAGATTTGCAGAAGTAATAGCTACCACAAAGGAATGAATGAATTGAAAATAACATCATGGTCATTTGGATACTAAATTTCAGCAAACCAAACATGAAATAGAGCAGAACCTCAAAAGTGAGGACAAATACTGAACCTTAAAGTGTACTGGTAAATGATATTTTATTCGCACATTTCATGCATGTCCTTTCGATCTTCTACGATTCGGTTTCCACATCATTTACATTACTTTCCTTACAGTCATTCCGTACATTAATAATAAAATTACCCTCCTGACTTGCATACTTTGAAAAAACCTTCGAAATGAGATCAGCCTGTAGCAAGAAGGTCGCACCAGAAGAGGCATCGAACCCGAGGATGAAGCCAAGCCCAGTCAAATCAAAGGGCAATGCACAAAAATACACACACACAGCAAGAAACCCGTCTTTTACTCAATTAGAGGAAGGAAGGGTCTTGTTAGATTCAGAACAACAGAGGCATTAAATTGTCCTCTGATCTGACTCCCCTACTCCAGTTTGAATTCTGTGAGAAGATTCATTTATACGCAGGAGGGGGGACAGGGAAAACTGATGTGCAGAAAAAAGCAGGATTGTAGCCACCTTAAGAGAAAGTGAAAGAGACAAGGCCTGTGCATGTACATGCAGGCGCGTGGGTCTATAAGTGAACTAAAAACGATAAAAACGCACACACACACGCACGCACCCACAGTGTTGCAATTACACCACGTGAATATAGCCCTTAGGTCACCAGCAGAAGACGACCTCGCTAATTTTAAATAAGCGAATAGAAATGCATGACCCGTGATGCACAGACAACAGAATACGTGCACACACACGCACGCACGTCACGAAGCCGGTTATCAAGTGGACTTGGAGTGCGAGATGGCAACCCGGTAGAGGGATCCGCGAAAAAATAGGTAGGCAGAGACCGTATGAGGTCAGACAATGTTTAAAAGTGAATACGTGTGCCTGCATGCACGCATACAAGCACGCATGCAAGACCTCTAATTAGTACCTGTATGTGCCTGGCACTATCGAAGCAAGACACGTCAGGCATCCCGACTAAATTGTGCAGGAGTATTTACGGGAAGTTTTCGTAAAAAAATAGCGGTGTATGAATAACCGTTTGCTAAGATGCATTTCGGATGAGTCAGAGATCACAGATCGCATGTCAGTGAGTAAAGACGACTCTACAATGAAATTGTTGCTATGACAATGAAACTGCGTCTGACTGTGAACAGGTGATGTCTGAAGCCTATGTCGGCATTTATAGCATAGGGTCCTTCTGGGTATCCCAAGGCTCGATAATTTCTCAGATGCTACTAGCTACCTAGACTTTCTGTGCGTCGTTTCTGAGAAATTTGGATCTTCTAACGTCTTAAGTGGTAGCGTTGACTAGCGCGCTCCGGGGGAACGATACCAGTTTCGTTATATCTGTATTGCGCAAACAAGGAAAACATCGGCTGTAGGTGGTTGAAACTAGGGAGACTTACAAAGGGTGGGTCTTCAAAAACACATGGACTTCTGGCAACTACTCCAACCTTGAGTTCTCTACAATGCAATACAATAAGTAAAAGCCATTGATAAAAGGAACGGTTACAGTATGTATAGAAGTGAAAGCATAGATTTATTATCACCACAGAACACTGTCCAGTCTTAAACATTACTTTTACATAGGAATATCACTCGACCCAGTTCACCTAAAGTAAAACACACCATTGGAGAAGTTCGTCTAAACCCACAAATGACATAAGGGTCGCTCTCTTTGTCAAGTCGCAAGAATAATTACTACCAGTTAGAAGACTTGTGACAGCCAAGGCAGAAAAATGACTGCGAGGGGCACTCAAAGCTCAAACTGAAGAGGGGACTTATGGCAGAACGTTTGTTTTGGTTGACTCCATTAAGCTTCACGATTCGGTCTTCATGCTTGCCGGTCATTCCGTACATTAACAGTAAAGCTATTTCTGCATAAGTCTTCATTTAGTCTTGTACTTCCTCTTCTACCTTACCTCACAGCTCTGATAAAAAGCAGTAAATCCTTGAGGCCTTTTTTACACAACAATTTCCAGAGCGAAAGGGTGACTGTTCTACGTGACGCAAAGGAGCGGTAATTCGATGTGACTGGATGCTACGTAATGCCAAGGCTAAAAGCGGCAGCGGCAATAACAGGTAGCAGCAAATGCAGACTTTAGCAAAAAAAGGTACCGAAGGAATACGTTGACGTAGCCCTTCCCTCGCGCAGGTGATTGCCCCACCAGCAGTGCACAGAGACATAAGAGGCAGGGTAAAGAGCGGAGAGGGGAAAGGCCAATCCAACTTCCGTAGTGATGATAACTGACCAACAGATTACACCGGCTTCTACACCTTATCACAAGCGTCATCTCAAGGCTGCGTAACTCCGACAAAGATCATGCATAATTCATGCGCATAGATGCCACTGTGCGTTTATGCGCTTGTGTGGTGATGATGCTTTTTAAGAATAATGGATAACGCTGACGAATTGTTAATTTGACTGACAACCAAACGAATACGATCACTCCTTTCGTCGAGGTGAAAAACGTACCTTACTCTTTTGTAAAGGAACGAAGCAAGACCTTCATCTGAAAGTGACCTCAGGCACAGGGGTGGGATCACGTTAGCATGGAAGTAAGCCGCTCGGTTTCTAAGATATTATTGATGCTGTTGGGGAATGTGAGAAGTTAAACTGCATAACACTCGACTCGTATTCTGAGCCAAAGAATAACATTAACTCCGGCCGGGTCAAAGTGGCTAATACGAGTGCGAACCCCACGGCTTACGTCATCGCATCCACATAGCGGCCTCCCTAAAACGACAAACATGCACACATATGACGCTAGAAATATGGGTTTGAGAACTCCTGTTTACGTGATCTTCCGGTGAAGTAAGTGATCCCTTCACACATTACCAAACGACACAACAGTGCGGTCTGTATCCAACCAATAAAACAGAGGAATGAGTCGCTGGACATGCTTACTTGGGGGTGGTACAAGAGAGCCCCGACCGCTGTTACTGCCGTTGTTGCTATTATTGCTGCTGCGTGGGCAAGAGATGGAGAGGACGGATGTGAGATCAGTGAGAGAGATATTTGACGAGGGAATGAGGCACCGGTTGGGGACAGCAGTTCGGGAGATAATGAGATCACTGGTGAGCCAATGACGTCTGGACGGCGTCAAGGGAGACGCAGACGGCGAACCGGAAGCCGAATGGAACTGTGGAGTGAAATGAGAGAGCTAGACTACCACTCCAGCCCAATTTGACAAGGTACAGTGCTGAGTAAAGTCATGGTACCTTCTCGGGTATTAAAACTATGAGAACAAGTTAACAACCATAGAAAGCGAATTTTGTGAAGTTTGTGAAAGAAAAACAACTGAGCTTAGACGACTTTTTCATGGACTACGTCGAAATCACGCGAGCAAGTGTTATTTCACTACGTACAAACGCTAATGCGTCAAATAACATTCATTTCTCTCAAAAGGAATTGTTGAAATAAGACACGACTAAATAAAAGGCCGGAACTGTTACTTTGGCAACAAAACATGATGTGAACAATTAGGTTTGACTCGCGAGAGCCGAGAAACAAGTGGAAAAAAGGACATCGTAAAATAAAACCAGACCTAAAAACTGCGCCTGTGATTGCAGCAGGCGCAATTTAATCGTAAGCATAAAGACTAATTTGGGGCCGATATAAAAGTTTGCAATTGAAGACGGAATGTGAAAAATTGGCGACTGGAAAGTCTATTCGGTCGAAAACATTAAACACATAAAACGAATTACAACGGTCAGTGAGTAGTTCTACTGACAGGAGGCACGAGCGTTGCACTAGGTTCGAACGAGTAAAAAATTAAGATTTCACTCATTATGAAATACAGAAAGTTGAAGTTGATATCTCGCCATCAAAAGCAGCTTAAAAGTAACGATTTTGCAAGAAGTTAATCACGTTTATCTTCTATGCAGACGGTACGAAGTGACGTACATAGAAGACTGTCATACAAAAGGCACTTAAAATATTACCAACTTATAAAAAACATTAAGCTTCAACAATGCAGCCACAAGAAATCTGTGGTAAAATATACTGCTATTATAAAAACGAACAAAGACACAGTCAATGAAGTGGAAAAAAGACGACATACTCGAATTACAGATCTACGCAAATTGCCAAAATCGCATGACTATCACAGGATCATGCAAAACCTCCCAAAAAGTTTCGAAAACCCATAAGCGAATTGTATGAAAAACATTTTATTCCTTAGACGTTAGACCATGGGTTAGACCAGTATGGTAAATCAAAAAATATGTGTGTAATGCTACATTAAAGCACTCACGTTTAAATTTGAAGCGATTGGTGGTGAGCACGTTGTAGAAAATCTTCTTTGCGCACTTTGAATTAAAGAATCTCGTGGAAACAAATGTTCTTTGGATTGAAAATGAACTAACAAGGGAAAGTTGAATCAGGAACAAAATGATCTGGCATACCACCTTTGACGAGATCACGTTCAAGTACCTCCGCCGCAATCAATAGTGTGTCAATATTTGCCTTTTCTTCTATTGCCATTTTATCAACATGTGGCTTCAAAATAATAAACAAAACACCGGTAGCAAGCGAACAACCAAAACTAATTCCGTTAACCGGTGAACGACCTTCAACCCACAAATAAGAAAACAGGACGGCTCATGTGACCTCACCTATCGACTGACCTTAAATGATCACAGGATTTACGTCAAACGATACGCTGGCTTTCCCGCAGTGAATCATTTAAACACACTGATGAATATTTGAAAATTGAGAACTATACAACCTAAAAGTCACAAAATAATAAAAAAAATTTCGACAGATAAGAGGGGCTTATTGATGTACAACAATACAGGAAAAATCAAACTAAAGAGGAAGTCATCATAATCCTTATGAAATAAAGTTCAGCCATAGCATTTGCTTGTGTGATAGCTGGTATGCTACCTAAACAAACTGAAAATTAGTGCTTATAAGGATTTCTATTCAGGGGACTTATGACGGGATTAAAGGCACAATATATGCAGCTATTAATACTTTACCAAAATATATTCGAAAAATTGCGTGTTAGATCATTGGTAAGCAAATATTATACAAAACTGCCTTAGTGGCTCTTCAAGGCACTTTCTTCCGAAAGACCAGAAATTATTTGCCGTACGATTAAATAAATATTCGCAGACTACGTTTAACGACGTTGCGCGATGGATGAGTATAAAAAAGGGCAAAACCACTTTTCGCCATGAAAAGATGGAGTGACAAAAATGGAACACCGAACAGTAAACTAACATAACCGACAATTTAAACAGGTACTCCGCCATAATTAGCATTGAAAAGTTGGGCAATGGACTCGTACTCAAGCAAAAGTTGACTCCCGCCAATAGCACCAACTATGGGTATTTTTGAATAGCTCACCTGTTCGTATTTACTTAAACCATCACTATAGTCATCCTATAAGGGGTGTTCCGGAACCGAAAGATAAAACATTTGCGAAAAATTACAACAAAATTTTTGTAAATGTCGAGGCCCTTTCAACTTAAAAGTTCTGCTCGTCTAGTTACTACAACTTGACATACCATATAAAATCATGCAATTTAATACGCATTTTAGCTTTTAGAAGTCACTTGACTGGTCCTTTCAGAATACTTTTCCAAGGTTGTACACAAAGCCAGTGTTAGGTAAAATATGGATGCAATACTTAGGGACTATTCGGAGAGGTCACTCAAGCCTCGTGTTTAAGAAGTGGTCATAATCCCCTAAACCAGGGAAGAGCTCAGTGTCCCGTTGTCTATAAACTTATAATTATTCCCATTATAACTAACCAATAATTATGTCCCACCCCAGTCAGTCTCATCGTTCTGAGGGCACGAAGGACAGGAAAAAGGAGGAAAACGAAAGCCATGTTGTAACAGAATCTCTAAAATAATCTGCACCTTACAAATTTATACCAGTTTATGTCTGCTGCATGTTGATTAACTGCTTATTGACGTAAATTAAAGTGTAACTTAATAGGGTCAATCTACAAGATGAGAAGAAGGCAACCTCTTTGCTTGTATTGTAAGACCCAATGATGTGAGATCCACCGTAAAATGTAAATCATGATTTATTGATGCACCAACGCTTAAATGTTTTGGCATATAATGATAAGTTTGCAAACCACTGTCCTGCAAAATTGAAAGCGGGTGTGGTTTCACAGACATAAGCAAAAGTGCGTTTAAAAAATATTGTATTGAGCAGACACGCACAAACTTGTGCTGTCATAATCGATCTTTTAGTATAACAAAACATGTGAAAATGACGGAAATAACAGTACAGTAAGATGCTCAATTACAGTTGACATTTTTGATACCTTTTAGATTTGTTTGTGAGAATTTATGTTAAATTAAATGTTTTTACGTAGCATATCGCCTAAAGACATTGTTACTATTTGCACTTTGCTGTTGCTTATATGCATCAGAAGGGAAGCGGTAAATATAAGGGCGCCCTGCAGCAGTCCTGTGACAATTTTGGGTGGGCTCGGTTGACTTCTGATGCTTAAAACTTACAAGACATTTTTATTCGATGCAGATGGTTTGCTGACTTTGCCTCAAAATATCTCTAGGCACTCTTTGGGATCCGGCCGGTGTAATTGATGGTGCTGCTGATTTTCTCCAGTATTTAAAACAAACTGGTCGAAGCGTCCTCCTCGTAACGAATAATAGCACAAAATCAGTAGAAAAATACTTGGAAAAGTGCAACAAATTAGGACTACCACTTGAAGCAGTTTGTTAGTGCTTATGTTTTGCATTAATCTAGTCAGAGATTGTATGTTCCGCCAATATTACCGCCACTTCCTTAGCTAAGCAGGACTCCAAGGGTCCATACTATGTTATCGGACAATCTGGCCTTGGCGAAGAGTTGGACAAAGTTGGAATCGAGCATTTTGGTATCGGGGTATGAGCTTGTGTGCATTTTGAAATTCTCTATCTAGCTGGACAGCACACCTTTAGACGAATTCGATGCATCGCACCTGCGGGCCAACGTAATAGCAATGTGCCTCTTGATTACTTCCTTTACAGATTTCAGGCGTGATCGTCGGATTTGATTCCCACTTTAACTACATGAAACTTATGAAAGCAACAAGTTATATCGTGCGAGGTGCCCCATTTTACGCTACAAATGAGGATGCGCTTTTGCCGTGCTCCGAATATAGCATGCCCGGTGAGCATTTGTTTTCGAAACCTCCTTATTAGTCATTGATCTTTGTTTATTATGGTGGGTAACTATTTAAATGATTATTGGGCATCAGGAACGGGCTCCATAGTCGCCTCCGTTAGAAAGGCTTCCGGTGTGGAGCCGATAGTTTTTGGGAAGCCCTCAAAGACAGTGTGGGAGTTTGTCAAGAATAAATATGGAGCTGAGGAAAAGACAACATTGCTTGTTGGAGACAGGTAAGTGCGACTCTTTGCTTCCTGTGTTTCTGGCCTTTTATTTTGTTTTTATATTGCTCCTAGATGTATGGTGGTTTCATTGTTTCATTTCTCACTAAATTACACGTTATTCTTATCATAATTTTACAAATTGATGGACTCAATTTCGGCTCTAGTTTGCAGTTTACTTTTGTTACCTTCCCTCCCTATTTTAATCTCAAAAGAGTTTGTGGTTATCTGTGCGTCGTAAGGTAACTACACATAAGAACTGCCAGTGGTTTTCCTACATAACTTTTGAACTCCCAAATCACATGGTAAAGTCGATACTATTCAAAAATGAATTTTGAGATTTGCCGTTTGAAAACGTTCTGGATACTGGTTTATGATGCCTCGCTTCTCCATATTGTTGCCTTAAAAATTTAGTTGGTAGCTTTGCATCCAATTTTTGCTACTTCAGACTGGACACGGACATCCATTTGGGCAGGGTGTCAGGTCTGTGTACAGCGTGCGTGATGAGCGGAGTGACCTCGGAGGCAATTCTGGCCGCAGCTCGCGCAGACCCGGCTAAGGCCACCCTCCTAGCACCAGATTTGGTATATCCCAGCGTCTTGGAGATGCACCAACAACTGTTAGAGGAAGACAAAAGGCAGGGCAGCCCCCACCCAAATTCTATTCTTGAAAACTGATTTTGACGACCTGCTCAGTAATTGGGGCGTTGTTTTCAGGGTCAAGGAATACACTCAGTCATTGGTAATTCTTGTTTTTTCATTGATTTGAAGTAGTAATGGATGGCTGCACTGACGTCTGTAGATTGAGTCGCGTGTATCGTTATATATGACATTAGTATTGGCCAATCAAGTAAGCATACACAAAGTACAATGAATGGTTCAGAAACAAAAGTTAACAGGAAAATAGGTGTTTGGTTCTCTTGGCTTCTGGAGGCAAAACATTGCATGAAAGGTCCTGGTGATGAAACTAGGTTGCGCGATTACTGCACGGCGAATTAATAGTTCCCTGATAGTGGAGAAGGTCCGGAGGGCTAGAAGCGATAGGCATGATAATCTCTGCACGGTTAATAGCGTTAACCACACCGGAAAGCTCTGACAATAGCAGTAGACATAGAAGCGGTACTTTTGAAGTACTCCAACGCCAGTCTCAAGGTCCGAAGGATGTTTAGTGGGGATTTTGAGTAGAAGACTGCGTTACTACACATCTTGGACTCAGAAGAAGTGGATCACAATCCCACTGTTACAAAAGAGGTTTCGCAATGTCGACTACACAACTTCACAAAGGCAGTACACCAAGGTGGGAGCTTTCGTTGAAGCTAGCTTGGAGTGAAGCCCCTTACGTTTTGGTGCGACCAGACGTCTCAACCCCATCCCGCAACAGAAGTCACTCAGTAAGAAATACTGAAAAATCAAATGTCTGTATGTGCGTTTGGAGACAGGCAGGCAGGTGATTTAGCATAGGATAGAAAGCAAAGAACGAGGATAGTAAGAGGGATACGAAGAAAAAGGCAGCATAAGACTGAGGTCAAGGGAAGAGAGTGAGGTCATGTAGACGGTATAGGGAGCTTGTATTCAACGCACAAATATACACATGCAGGAAAAGACACAAAAAAACGTTAAAATCGGCGATCAGGTGGATATGTACAAGACGAGAAAGTGTTTTTGAGTGTGCGGGTGTGCATGTGTGACTATTTAGTGGCGTTCCGCCTGGAAAAAGTTGAGAATGGTTTTGGCGGCACTGGCGATTTCGTGTGCAAAGGTGATCAGTTGACTGCTGTTACTGCTACCAACACCACCACCGGAGGGTTCAGTGCTCGCAGTCGCAGCGGCGGCCTCACAGTGGAGGCGCAGTTTCTGAGAGTTGCCCATGAGGGAGGTGAGCGCCGCGCCCACGGTTAGGTGGCACTTGCTGATGGGCGGGAAGAGCACTACCAGATCCTGCACCGCCGCCTGAATGAGCTGCGCGGAGCGCACCTGCTCGGGTAACCGCCGCCCGTTCGCCGCCTACATGAAATACACCGACACAAACTAGTGAATGCAAATGGAAATATGCATGAGCACTCAATTACCCACTCCTCGGTTTTCCGCATTAGAAGTCAATTTTACAGTGGGAAGGAAGTCGAATAAACGCCTTTAAATACCTCTTCACACACTTCCTTTAAAACGAAAGTTTGTCAAAATTTTATCGTCAGCCATATAATGTATCATTCCAGTGATCTATACCAAGTTTAGTAGTCAATAGTTTTTATCTTTTTAATCATTACTGTTCCTGCAGCATTACAATTTAAGAGATGAGCGAGTTCTTTTGATTGATTTCCCTCATGGCACCGCGACATGGCAACACACAGTTTAAACATTCAAGAATGAAGTATTTTAACGCTTTTCCCTTCTTGTCTTGATATAAAACTGAACTAAGCCGATGGATCACTGAGCTCAATTTGAAGAAAAATGGTGTAATATTTCAACCGCTTGCTTAACTCTTCGTTTTGCTTACACAACCACTGAAGGGCACGGCCATTGTGCTTTCGCCCGGTGGTATGGTCTATGGGTCACATCGGTAGCACCTCAGACCTACTCTACGTCGATAAAACATATTCTGCCCTTCTTATTATGCCTTCTTTCGCCCTCAGCAAAGTCTTGGGAAGCAGCAATTTTGGCAGCGGAAATCGAACCCGATCCTAAAGGTCAAATACCCTAATTTCTATTACTGAATGCTAAACATTAGCGTGACCGAAGAGGGGCATCCACTACGGCTAGGAGAATGTGACGACTCCTTCGGCAACTAGCCCAGTCCTGTGTTCTGCAGGAATACTATTAGCACCTGGAGGGATGCTAGCCGTGGCTGTGAACCGTCTGGAAAAGTTCGCTACGGAGCTGTCAACGGTACTTGTATGAAGATATCAGGGAAGTGAGCACGCGAGACGCAGATAGACATCGTTGGGCAGCGCTGAAGTGAGAGCAAAGTACCAAGGAGAAACAGACGTTAAACCTTACTTCACGAAACTATTTCAACCCCCGTCCTCCATTAAATGACCCTGATTTTAGGCCAGTGTCCTTACGACTAGCGGTGAACTTACAAGATGGCCAACATATTCCCTCTTCCCCCAGTACGGTTCCAAAACAAGACAAAACTGTAGATCCAGTGGAATCGCCAAGAGGGATCAGTGATGTTACGATCAAGTATCTCCTCAGTTGCATGCAAATTCGATGACTGGCGCGGGAGAAGTCTGAGAGAGCTACGATAGCTCTTTTCAACTAAGTAGTTGAAGACTTCAATAGCAAAAAGGACTAGAAAGGGCTATTTCTTCTATTTCTCGATCTAGCTTCTAAATGACAGATTAGTTAATCATGTAAAAGCAACATTTTCAATCCATAGTTGGGGATACGGATGGTACTAAGTAATTTTCTTAAGCAGTACTGTCTTTAAAGATAAATGCCAACTAAAACACTTTACATTAACTTCCTAGGCATTTTTTGCACTTTTAAAAGTGCGTCAGCACTATTTCAAAGGTGTGTTTGCATTGTGATTGGCGACTGTCGGAAAAGAACACGATCTATCACATCCACAGTGGAATCACAAAGCGATAATCACCAAGTTTTCTTTTCCCATATATGAATGCATTTTATCGTTAGAGATGAGGAAAAGCTACAGTTGAATGAGGTACTAATGCACATCGTGACTGAATAACTACCGAAAAACTAAATGTATCCGTCTGATGGCCCAGCGTGTAGGTGCTAGCATTAGTCATTAGCTTCATGTGACCATATCACCCAAGTGTACCAGATTAAAGTTTCAAATAACTACAATCTTCAAATGAAACATCCACCCGAGATTGAACAAACTGATAGGAACGGACTAATTCTCCAGCAATACAAGGCTTGGGTGACGATATGCTGATAGGACAATGGCTCCTTGGAATATCAAAGGAAATTGCTGTCTCAAAAAAGGTGGTCCCATGGATGACAATTTAGGGGCAACAAATCTGGAGGTAGGAGAGGCATAAATGCTCTGAGAAAGGGACACATTTCTAGATAGACCCCAAAGCCTGAATATCCAATCGCACACATCCACCAGTAAGTCATATTAATAATTACTACCCTAAGGAATTACTACGTTGAATATAATAAAAAAGGAAGTTTCACTTTCAGCTCTTAGCCAAAATCAACCTGGCTCAATCCGTAAGGCATTAATACATGGTCTGTGACCACAATCATAAACATCGCTTTGTTGAGCCCACCCACTAAACCGTAATCACCTCACACAACCGCAGTATGTTTCAGCCCTTCGTCACAGGCATGTTTAACTCATAATAGTGTCCTACAAAACATACTAGTCGGAAAATTCCAGAGCATGACCCAAACCGAGAGATGGCAAGAAAACCACGCGCCTGGTAACTTACATCAAGAAGGGCTCTGATTCGCACAATGATGCACTCCACGCCACGCACAATCCGTTCGTAAGGCGGATGCTTCCACGTTGGGGCAATGGCGACGGCAGCGGCAGTGGGCACAATGGGAGGCGTCTTTTTCAAGTGGCCGCCACCACTACCACCCGTCTGCGGAGGTACCGAGTACTCCACCAAAGCTTCTCCGCTTCTGTGCGCACCTGTAGGTGCGAAGTGAGCGGGCGTTGAGCGCAGCACCATCCCACCACTGCCGGCTCGACCTGCTACAGGCAGAACTGGCGCAGGACTCGGGGTGCCCGTCTCGTTGGGTGCAGTGTAGTCATCCGACCCTTCCACATCTTCTGCAAGACAAATAATAGCAAATGCTGTAGTAGTGGTTTCAAAATTCAAGGATGGGCTCCGTGCTAATGAGTGCAAAACATGCGGGAAAGGGAGTGAGGATATGGAAAAAAAGTGATGCATGTATATGGGTTTGAATCCGATGGTTAAAGAGGGCTAATTTGAATTGGAATGATGCAACATCGTTAACAGTAATGATTTTACACTGTACAGGTATTTCATTTAGGTGAATTGTGGGCAGCTGAGTTTGTACCTTGCGACGCTACCAGTTGGGTGGGTTACCTACTCTTTTAGACGCCTACGAGAATAGATTTTCGGATTCTGGCTACTACTAAAAAGATGCCTTGATCGAGTATAACTCGACACTAAAAAGGGATGCGCCATGAGAAATAGAAATTTACAAATCCCTCCACGTAAATCATGGTGCAAGAAGAAGAGGCGTGTTAAAAATTAAAATTGAGGAGAAAAACAACCAGCTAGATTTAAATAAGCCACCAAATTAACTGTGCAAAGGTTAGTAATGACAACGTTTGTGTGTGACTGACATTCAGGTGAGAATGGGTTCACATAAATTATTAAATGTGAATAAAAAGTAGCAGTGGAAGTTAAGATGGGTGTTTTGATGAACAATAATACCATGGAGATTAGGAGTTAAGTGTGGTCAATTGGCGGTAAGTCAAAAAAAGGTTTATAAATTATTATTAAAGCAAAACGTTAGGGTGATAATAAAAATTCATCTCGCAAGGCTTTAACAACATAACACGAACCAAAAAGCAGTAAATACGTTGTCCAACTCATCTGAGAATGGATGAGATGATAAATTTGGGAGAAACAACAAAAGGTGACTCCCATATTTTTTTATGACAAATGCCAAGTGGACAACACCGGGCGGGGATACCAAGGCGAATCCAAAACCACTAATAAACCTATAATAATGTCACCTTTGACAAAACGGCTAATTCAAAAATAATTCCCTATTAAAGTGACTGTCTCAGTCCCCAGATTCTAACAGACATTTCACCACTGGAAATGGCAATGTTCATAAGCCCTGAAGAGTAGTTTAAAATGACAAAACACCCAAGGGTTAGAGCGACATCGTGAAATCACGGAGTGAGGCACCACCATTAGATGCAATCAAACACACATAAGAGAATACGAAGCCCTGGTATTTTCGCACTGCAACTGTGCTCATTTTTTGCCGAAAGAAAAAAAGAAGGAAAGAAGTAGTCCAAAACAGCACAAACGAGTTGTCTCGTTGAAGCAGTTGATGTGGGAGTTTAATACGAAGAGGAGGAGGGGGGAGAGAGGGGAGAGAAGGAGTCAAAACCATAGTTGAAATTGAAAGGCCAATGACCGGTCGTGGAGAGTGCAGTCATCGGGGATCTGATGGGATTGCTCATCTGTACAACGAACGGGAGGGAATACATACACATACAGACATACGTACTCGTTACGTGGTCTGGCTTTTCAAATAACAAAAAGACAAATTACAACGCGTTCAACTTAAAAACAGGCGTATGTAATTCAATCAAAGAGAGTAAATAAAGGAAGATTCCAAACACATACTTCAGCTCGACTGTTTGTAAAGTAAGTTATCTTCCGACATTGTTTAGGGGGTTTTCATCCATACCAAAAGATTGCTTATTTAATTGGCGCCGGTTCTTCAGTCTGTGCAAATCCAGCTGTACATTTATGGACCTTTTAATGTCTTCAGATAGGAGGACTAGGGCGCTACATAGAACATTGAGATTGGCTTCTAGAACCACATATATTCAGGAGCTTTACAGATATCGGAAAAGTGAAAATTATGGCATTGTGTCTCCCCCCCCCCCTAAGTGAAAATAGCTGCAGCGACTCTAGTTTAATTCTGTTTCAGTCTAAATTGAAGAGGAAATATTTATGTTTAATGCACTAGCACATCTGCAATTGGAAAAGCCTATCCAGAAACGCAGGATTCGCTGTAACGGTGTAGTGCTTCCCAGTGAATGGTCAGGGCCAGTGCGATTTTCGCACAGTTGTAGGGAATTCCAATTATTGCGTTGACTATGCTACCACGTGCCTTCGTGCCAAGTGGTGTTTAACAGGTAATCCAAAAGGGTTGTAGGGTTTCCAGTCTAGACCGCTGCAATGACCTCCACTAGTAAGGTGCGTGCGACTGTTTATATGTACACAACCTAAAGCATCAACACACGTCAGTCCAGGGGTGTGATTATTCCATTTCGTTCCCTACTATTTTCCTGCTCCTTCAAGGTAGCATTAAATGTTGGCTAAATTTGCAGCTTTAATAGTTTTAACGCCATTCTGACGGTGTAGTTTTTCGTACGGCCTGACTATGATTTGCTAAGATGCAGGAGGTGACAGCAGAATGTGCTACCTAGAATTGGTATACAAATGTGATTAATCACGCCAATGTAGATGGGTCACGTTCTAAAAGATCCGGTAATTTTATTGGCCTGAAAAATTTACAAGTTAATAATAACTTTTAGACATGTTTAAGGCAAATGCTAACGAAATAGTTGACTTACTCCCGAACCGAATGGGAAGGGAGAGTAGTGGAAGATGCTAAGCACAAGGATTTTATTTGCATGCATTAACAGATGACGAGTAGCTTCACAGCCAAAAAATTTGAGCACAACTTCCTTCACCTTCTGCAAATACGTCGTTTGTAGATTATTTACCGGCTGACCAACTGAACAACTTGAAATGGGAAGCAGATTTTGTATTGCAATGCTTAGTAACCGAACAAACATATTTTTGACTAGTGTCAAGTAGTCCAACCGCTACACCTTACATTTCTGTGAGCGTGACAGTCTACAGATATAAGCGGTCATCAGGAAGTATGCATTTGCTGAAGCCCAAACAACAGTTATGACAAAGACCTACTTGTCTATCCACTCGATGCAAAGTGATGCAACCTGAAGGTGTGCAAGAAAACTTCCTCCTCTCCTTTGGATACGCCCAAGACCAGCCAATGGGGGAGGAAGAAAGTCCTTTTCTTGTCCCTACACTCAAGCCATTACCACCCTATACCGTGCTTTAGATAGGATGAATGGATGGGAGAGGGGATACCGCCTCACCCCCGTTCTCATCCACCGTATTCCAATGGTGACATTTTAATTTTCAAGTAGTTATCACTTTCTCTTGGCACTAGCATTAGATCATCATATGACCGAATGCAAAATAGAATAGACGGGTAGGAAACAAAAGTGAGGTAGACGGAGACGCAGGTGTCTGGGTTTCTTGGGGATTCGAAGTAGCCTTATTTCTTATTAATAAAAAACCGTAGACTGTAATGCTTATGATTCCAATGTAAAACATAATTTAAGCCGCTTCGTGTAGACATAGAGGTGGAAGTTGTAGTTAACTTGTATTTCATTGGAAAAGCTTATCGATGGTAATGGCGACCATTTTAACAAATGAAATATTCTAAGCAATTTCTTGCAGCGGCTTTATTCCTAACAACAAAAAGCCAGCCAAACTTATTTGGTTACCTTACAGATAAAAAGCAGCTGTTTTTGTAAAATATCACACGTTCTTATGTAAAATTATCATAACCTTCTTTAATGATAATTAGGTCGAGGTGCCCAAAACGAGCGACTGGAGAGCCTTGCACTTCGTGACTTAGTTCCATTGCCATCCTGTCACAGACCTATGTCGAACACGCTATAAACAAGGCTACGGTGGGTAAAGGTAAAAATACTCACGCGATCCACCACCACTTGCACCAGTATTGCCACCAGAGGCAGGCGATTGGTGTTGCTTTCCAAGTGGTGTTCTCGCAGCAGAGGGACGTGAGTTCTGCACATTCACGTAGGACCGATTGTTCGCTGCCCCCGTTGTGGAGGAAGGTAGGTGTGGTGGTGTGGGAGCAGCAGCCGCGGCAGAGGGTACAGTGGTGGTCGCTGTGGCCACGATCTCTACAGCATCACCGGGGGAAGAGGATCGCGCCCAAAGGGAGATACCCTGACGCAAAAGCATGCCCGAGTCAAGGCACTGACTCCCCATGGCGTAGTTTCCCGAACCATTTGCACTTCCGCCACCACCTCCGCCTCCAGCACCGCTGCGATGACTGGTAGACTTGGACTGATGATGAACGTCCTCATTGTTATACTCCTCATCCTCTCCCTCTGAATCTTCGTCTCCCACTGCTGAGGCCTCAGTCGTCAACGCTACTGACGCCTTTGTCTGGTCATCACTGTGTTCAGTGTCTGTGCTGAAGGGTTTTGAGGTGTTGTTGTGGCCGCCTGTAGCGGGGGAAGAACGTGTGGCCTCGTGAGTCTTCACCATGCCTGCTGAGAATGCAGCCTTCAAGGCACTCTATAGAAAATTGCAAGGAAAATTTCATCAGCGAGGAAAGCTTCAAGGGCAAAGAAATGAAATGAAATGAGTAACGTCAGGAGCAGTGAATAAAGATTTGCATTCATCCCATAGTCAATACAAATAATCAAAACGATATTCTTAAAATACCCGATTTAAACTCAGACAGAAAGCCGTGAAATTAGCCATCTTCTTCCTTGCAGATGCTTTAAGCTAGTTCTAAAAAGGCCTCAAAGCCACTCCCTGATCTCGAAAAGTTGCCTTGAAAATAAAGAAATTCAAAAGATGACACCCACTTTGATAAAGCATTACCACAAATGACATAGCTAACCAAGAAGAGGTTTAAAGGAGCATATTGCATGAGCGACGCATACATTCAAACAAAGCAGACACCCTTAGAATAAAAACAGCACAATAGCCATGGTTTCACAAAATTTCAAGAAAAATGATACTCAGAAGCCAAAACCAAAACACCACCATAAATAGCACACAAAATACAAAAAAGCATTAGAAGCAACATATCGGCACTCAGCTAAATCAGACAAATGAAAGTGATACCCGAAAATGACAACGCTAGTGGTTTCACAAAGTTGCCCAAAAGGTGGTGTGGGCAAATCAAAGCGTGCATTTAAAATAGTGAGACCGAAGTCAACAAAGATCGCATCGCAGGTAGTGCACAGTATCCATGAGCGTCTACAGCTATCCACTTGTCAGAGAATATCATCAACTCACATTCTCTTCCGTGAGTTGTTCACAAGCTGCCTCCAACTCGTGCAACCGCGCCGTGAGTGCGGCTACCTGCTGCACGGCTTTCTCGTGCTCCTCCTTCAGTCGCTGGACCTCCACCATCGCCTCTGCCACCGCGGCGTCCGCAGCCGCTGCGCAGCACAGAGCCGTGGTTTGCACCTCCACAGAGACTCCAGGGGATCGCGGAGCGGTGTGCACATGGATGAGGGCTTCCTGCGACTGTTGGAGCATGGTAGGCGCAGTGCAGCGCTCCAACGAGCCATCGCAAGGAGAGCCCGTGGAAGTGACGGAGGAGGGCACGGTAGTGGCAGTGGTAGTGGTGGCGACTAGAGGCTTGTGCATCCCACTGAAGGAGGGACAGTGGCTGGATGCTGGCACACTGGCTCTGGTGGAAAAATGAGAGAAACCGATTTGCTGCGTTGTTCATGTGGAACTCAAAGGAAATGATTTGAGCACATTATTAAAGTATACATCATATCTAGATTGAGCTATGAAGAGGTCCAAGGAAGAGGAAAGAACAAGAACGGATACGATCATGGCTCGCTGAATGCTGACTTAAAGGAGGCACTTTAATTCCTGCAAGACGAAGTGGTGACCGATGCAAGGTCTGGTGAATACACTGAGTGACAAGACAAAGATCAAGCTTTTGTGGCTTGGGCGTGTTTTGATGGGCTGTGCTTTACAAGAGTACGAGCCTATTTTCCTTTCAATAAGTCATAACTAACATTATCAGCTAGGGACTGAATTATTAAGCAGACAGCACCAGTTCTTCAATTTCTGAATTGTCCCAATGGTACCTTACCACTGCGTCAAACGCTTTAAATCCATTGTTCAGTACATACTTAACAAGATAAAGAGATGTATTGAAGTAGTTAGCTTTTCCAGTATTTTCAGAGCCTCGTGACAACTTCTCTGCTGCAATCTCTAGCTGCCTACGCGTTGCATCACGATTTCATAACGAAACATATTGAAAAACCAAACAAATTTTCAGCAGACCAACAGTTGAATAGGTTGCAGGAGAGGCAAATACGAGCGTTGGATCTACCTATAGCATGCATTTTCATCAATGGCATCAAAAGTCAAATGAATACCAGATAAATAGTACTCTAAAGGAAGATCACTAGGCAAGAGGGAACATTAGTGAAATAGCATGAAGCTTTTCTGTAATTACCCATAAAATTAGGTTTTAAATTAAGAATAAAAATAATTGGTAGAAAACAATAGTCCAATAAGTTATTTGCTTAAAAAGATGAAAAGAATTGAAACAAAAACGATTACAGTACACCGCCTGAAACAGAGTCAATCTACGAAATGTCTATTTACAGGTTTAAAGTGGCAAGAGACCCAGATATATCCTAGAATTAAATTGCATTTTCTACAGAACACCCACGCCACCACTTTATGATTAAAAATTAAATGACCAAACAACACAGATTTCGGGGAAGCAAGGGAATTAAACAAAGAATGACCGTGGATAGTACCGATAGGTGGGTAGTGATAATAGGGAGAAGAGCTATTCTATTCAAACGAGAGCACTTTTCTAGCTGATCTTACCGGTAGGAAGCGAGACGTCCCGTCGCTGCCAAATGCAGTCGCCTCGAGCCAGGCAAGTTACCCGGCCTTGACTCAATGCCATCGGAGGGGAGGGAAATGCTAACGAGACACGACGGCGAGACCTCTGAGTTCACGACCAAGGAGGCTGTGCTCTCCTTGCCCAAGGAGACGACGAGCTGCTGATGATCTTGCGACTCCTCCTGACACTGCTGCAGCTGGTCCGTCTGCAAGAACTCCGAGGTAACCTCCAACATCAAAGTCGGTGTAGTTGGTGATGTCGACGTCAATATCGAAGCCGTCCCCGTGGTGGTAGAGACAGCGGTCGTGGAAATTGAAGGACCCGTGGATACTGAGGCACGTGGCGCCGTACCCACCTCCGTCTCCACGGCGACCTAAGAACCGTAAAGTATGATATCTCTGCGTTCGAACTTAAGAATTGTTATTTCTCTTCCTGTCTGATATGCACGACAGCCTAAGTCATTAGATATTTTCGAAGGCTAGGAGTGTCAGCTATGAGCCCTGCCAATCTCTTTCTGGAATTTAAACTACTCTGAAGGTTCCTTGCTGCTGTTTTGAACATGTATTTTAATACGTGAATATAATTTCTCGACTTGTTATTGGTAAATCTACTTAAGCTCTGTCCTGGGGCTAATGCGGACAACGCCTTCTAAACATTCATCTGGTCACCTACATCGCCATGGAGAAATAAAGCCATTAGGTATGATATATCCAATTGCTGGAAATACCAGGTTTAAGTAATAGTTTCGTCGTTTCGCTTTGTCTAGTAAAGCAGTCTTCCGAGAAATCACCTCAACGCCAGTGGCATAGAGCTCAAATTATGTCACTTTTATGTTACCAGTTTTCTTGGTCTTCTAGATAGTGAAAATCAAGCCTAACTGGGAGGTTTAATTCTATTACAAAATTGCATTAACACAAACTTTGGTTGTCATCACCTATCCAAAAGTGATATTTAGGAGCAATGCTACGAAAATAAAGGCAATTGAAAAATTTGTAGAACTTGAGATAACCAACGCAGGTTAAACAGGTGGAAAAGTGTTGGAGATGGAATACGTGTAGTTATCCCTGACCTCACCTCTCCAGCCACCTAGTCACTAAAAATGAACTAAATGATTACCAGGAGCACTTATTTTTGATTCTTCAGTCACAATGAAGATGCTTCATTACTGTTTAAAACGCACGCCTCAGTGTTCAAATGCCATCTTTCGGTTTGTGCTTTCAAAGTTCATTTAGAAAACCATGATTTCCGACATGAAACGAATACGCAGTTTGGGATAAGAATATCAACGAATTATGTTAGAAGAATGAATCATACCAAAAGTCGGATCGTCCCAAATGCAAAACTTTTGACCTCATAGTCTCTGTGACTGTGAACTTTGGATGCTCTTTAACTTCTTCATCTGCTATAAAAGTTATTACCAAAATTGCCTCTGAAACTATGTCCTAAAAATTGGAGTTAAAACGTCAAATAAATGAACATAACGTGCATTTTTAAGAGGTTTTTTAAATCACGAGACAATTGGAACGCAGAAAATTTGAAAAATAAACAGCGATTTTGACAATTTTGTATCCATGGATGAGATCCAAGCTGAGACCAAGGTAAAGAATGATAAAGAGGCGAAATGAAGGCTGCAGAAAAAAAGGTGGGCACCAAAATACAGACTAGTCCACGGCGAGGTTTGACTAGCGTCACTATATGGAAGCTGAACATCAGGCTAACAAAAGAGTGTAAGAAGAGAAGTCAGTCTAAGAATCGCCTTCCTTTATTATGCATCATGTTGAAATGGAAAAGATACCTCCAGTTTCATCTCAATAGTTGGATTAGGATGAAGTACTGGGGCAAATCGCAGGCGAAAGTTAGATTCTAGAACTTCTTGTCCACTACTCAGCGCATTCACTGAATCATACACCAATTGGTCACAACCACATTTATGAAGTACTGAAATTCCTTTCATTGTTGTCTTCCATCGCATTTTTGAGTCACATTCAATGGACTCACGCTACTTTTTATATTTAAGTAACAGGTTTTTTGTAACAATTATCAAGTCCAGCAACTAAAGCAGTGCCTCTAAGCCGAAACTGCACGATGTGTGACAGAAGCAACGGGGACATGGAAGGTATTTGATTTCATTTTAATTAGACGGTGACATAATACGTTACCTATCACCAATACTAGTGAGGATATAAACTGTTACCGCTGGCAATCACATTTATTAAAGTACGTAGATCCAGAGGTGTCATATCTTGTTTTGAGATTTCCTGAATTATTACTGTAGAGCTTGCAAGAGAGTCCTCTGAGAGTAGTATATGGATTGAAGAGAAGTGATAGATTCGCATCAAGGTTGCATTTATTCATGTATCTTAAAAGAGAAATATAACTTGATCATATTACCTCGAATACCCATCCACCGGTTCTTTTGTGTGTTGATGAGAAAAAGACTTGGACATTCGCGGGCCTTTTTTATTCTGCTAAAATGATTCAAGCATTCCAGTGGTGATAGTATTAAATAACTCATCCCGAAAGGGCAACAAACTCGGCTTCACTGGCTGAACACTACCTTGAAAGGTCACCGGAGGAAGAAATTCGCAGAGGATGACTAGATGTGCGCAGATCCACAACATAAGAAATACCAAAACGGTATCGACTGTTAGTGACCATCCCAATCTAAAGTTCTGGACAATGAGCAGTCATAAAACAAGGATAGGCTTGAACGGATCAAAACTGCCTTTAATGGATTGTGTGCAATATTAATGCCACCATCAAAAGACTCCATATGTATCCGTGATGAAAGAAGACGAGAATAAGTCCAAAATTAGGGTAACATTAAGATTGACAACGGAAAGAGGGGTAATTAACACCCATCTGGATCCTTGCCCCACACCGTCTTCAGACGTAACTCAAGTAACACAGCACCTCCGAGAAAGTGAAACGATAAAGGTTTGGTAAATCTGACATTTCCCTTCATAACAATTGTAAAATAAGTATTTACACTTGAACGGCTGGTTCCATACAATATTTATTCCGAGAGCGAAGTTAAAGCCCAAGGCAGATAAAAACGAAAGTTATTAACATGAGATCGACTAAAACAAACAAATACGATATTGTCGAAAATTATGACGAAAATCTGCATGGAATTTGAAAATATCAACTGAAAAGCGAATATTCATAGAATAAACTGAGCATATAGTAAACAGAAATTCAAGACCATAACAGACGTCCTTTACTTGGGATATGAGATGACTATTTACAAAATCACGCTATAAATCTTGTCCACCTAAACACGGGATGTGAATAGTCACATATATCCCGTCCAAACTTCAAGCACCTTTGACCTTCCTGCACTAATTAGTAATAGTGCCCAAATCTGACGTTGGTGAGATTATACTAACTGGGCGATAGATAGGCTATGAAAAAAATCAACGCAAGATAAAGGAACCATCAGACCATCCGGTACTACCTTACAACTCAGTTCAATTACTCACTTGATCATAAACAGGGTCATCCACAGACATACTGGACATCTTATTAGTAGCGCGATGCTCCACACCATCACCACCGTCACTACCACCACTAACAACCACAAGAACTTCATCATCGTTATCCACGGCTACACCAGTACCGTCTACAGGCCCGCCATAGGTGGTGTACTCATGATGTCGCATCTTGGGTCGGACCACAGCGAGAGGGACAGTAGAGGAGGATTCGAGGAGGGGTACCAGACGGTGTGCGGCCTCGTGGAGTACATCGACAACGAGAGCGCGGAAAGCGGTCATGGAAAGGCGTCCGAGTTTTTGACGCGCCTGATTGCGCACAGAAGTGTAGGCAGTGTTGGGTGGGAGGAAGAAGAGGATGAGGGAAGACGGTCGTGCAGTAGTGGTAGTGCTCGGGGTGGCTCCACTGACACCACCCACCGCCGCCATGGACTGTGGGCGACCACTGATACTACCGCCACTAGGAGGGAGAGGGCGAGCGGTGGGACCGGAGGGAACGGAAGCCTCGATGGTGGGTTCAAGAAAGGAGTTTGTTAGGCGGCGCTCCGCCTCATCGTAGACATCGATACAGAGATCCTAAATGGCAGGAAGAAGGAAAGAATGTAGAATCGATGTCTTAAATTTGAATCATTTTAGAGAGGAATGGCAAATCGACCAAAGGATCAACTCAATTAAGATAAATAGAATGGCGAAATTTTGATGAGTAACAACAAGCCAAAACGTAGGCTTAAAAGCTCGATGATACGAACTCACAACAACCAAAACAAATAAGGACATTCAACAAGAAATTTCGGTGATATCTTCCCCCAAAATTAATTCCATTTCAGAGTTAAAGGAAGGTGTTGTGCAGAACTTCGTACTCTTTCTTCAAACAGGTTATTCAGGTGCTACATAAACTTTGGCCTGTGTGAATAACCATGCTTTATGCAAATAGTTTAAAACGCAAAGACAAAGAAGAATCGATACATTTGAAATTCTGGACTAATTTCCATGGGGCTTTTTGTGCTAGACAGAGATATCGTCATTACTTCAAATTCACATTTCGTTCTGTAAATGCCCTTCAAATTGGCGTCTACTTTGAAAAAAAGTCGTTCCATTATTTACTAATACTACCTACATTGCAAAACTACGCTGTAGCTTTGAAAAGACATTATCCACTTTTCGCAATGTTTACATAAAAAGAGCACGATCAAATTGCATGAAATTAAAGTGAATTTTTTTTTGTCTGCGCTAAATGATGATCACAATGTGACAATTTGATTAAGGCAGATGAATACAGTAAATGCGAAGACGTCCTTCGGAATCTCATGAAGGTTATGGGAGCACCGCTGTAATCAAAATGCGTGAGAACTCGTTCAAACTCTCCGTGTAGAATGGCTTTGTTTTCGTTTCATTTAAAAAGTTATGCACAATAAAGTAGTTAGTAGAATTTTGGCATCCGAGATAGTCGTACCCACAACTGTACGAGAATATTTAGTCTAAGTGAACAATTTCAGCCTCTTACAAATCGGACCCAACATTAGAAGCTTAGAGCCTCGTTTGTGTTCCTCATGCTGCTAGTCCCCCACACCCTTTTGATCCCCTGTAATAAAGCTAATTCTGAACTTGTATGCCTTGTTGCGCCTTTGAAGATAACATGGGTGTCACATGAGTGGAGTGTTGAAAAACTCACTGCCAAAACAACAACACTCAGCCGGTTATAATACAGCGACACCATAGAAGACCGTTCTAAACTGAGTTGAATTTTGGCAACTCCTTCTCGATATCTGCATGTGACCACCGTAGTCTAGCGAGTAACGATTATATGTCGCGAAAAAATATTGAGCATTAAGTTTATTTCAATCACTGCAGGACCTAACCTCAAAAGTGGCATTATCCAAGGCAGCAACCCTAGACCTGGCCTCAGCCTGCCGATCCGCTTCACCCTCCAAAGTCCCATTTGATTCTTTCACAGACTTCGGCGCCACCAAAAAATGTCCAGGCCCATAGAAAGCCTTGAAGGGCCATCCAGAAGCCCTCTGACCTTCCTCCACCTCCACGGTCCCATTCTTGAGGCTCCCCAAAGCTGTAGCAGT